ACCCTTAAAAGTCATACATGGCTGAGCCCTCGCTTTTGTAACATCAAATTTTTCTACTCACTTTTCAGAAGAGCTGCAATGTTTTCTAAGTTCTCAATTATGAAATAAAGCACAGAGTTGCAAGATTTGTCCATCAGATCATGTATGTAATATCACTTTTTCCAAATTAGAAAACCCCAAGGGCTGAAGAGGTGATGAAAAGACAAAGCTATTTGTTTTCTCTGAATCTCTGATGTTTTAAAAGTAATCTCACTTTCTACTAATTGACAAGAAGAAGCTCTACTTCTGCCTTTATTATGAAGAAAAAAAAAAAAATCGCTAAATCTGGTCTCTGAATTGAGGTGACTAGTCTTGAATGCAAGAACAATCCAATCTGAAAAACCTCACCTAGAGTATGTTGCGGGCTTGGGGATGACATCTCCTCTTTCTATCACTACTTCCTCAGTTCTCTTACCAGTCAAGTTCTCACTCTCAGGAGACTAACTGTTCAAAAAAACTCAAAAACAAAACAAAACTTATTTCTACAAATTATTTCTCACAATCCTTAATTTAGGAAAAGAAGAAAAAAATTTGGAAAGAAGATGAAAATGCTTTAAATTTTCTTTGGAAATCATTGAAAAACTTTAACACAAACTTAGCAGATTGCCGAGCCAGAGACAAAGCAGTTCACGTGCAGACGTGTCACTTCGTGTCCACCAGCAGATCAACAACCCACAAGCATGTGGAAAGAAGCTTCTACACATAAAGATGCACCTTTGGACAGGTGGGCAAGTCTCAAACATGTTCTAATACTGTAACTTGTACCAAGTAGTCATCCAAAGATTCTAGTCTGTATTTATATCAGTTACATTTCATAATAGCAGGACTCTCTCCAATATACACACTTTATTTTAAATTATTCCACTAGCACTCGGGGAAAAAAGTAATTTATTTGCATTGCTTCCATTTTTCTACTGTAGTGTTAGGACTTGACATAAGCGTTATTCTTCTACCTATTTACAGTTCGTTCAGAATATTACTACAAATACAGTATACAATTTATAAAAACTTATGGGGAACTGCAGTTTTCATTTTCCTCACCTCTTTACAGGTTTCTCAAAATCATTCAACGTAAGTGAAAATTTATATGGACATTTTTTGTACACATCTTAAAGGGGCAGAGATTACAGTGATAAAGCCAAAAGAATTTTGCACAAATACAATAAAATACAGAAAACAAAGTATAGATGTTATTTGGGGTACAAATATAAACAGTACAGTACCATTTGAGTAATTTAGCAACATAATACTCATACTTTATAGAAATAAAACTGCAAACCCGGAGAATGCTCTGACAAATATTAAACATCATATATACAATGAGGTAAATGTACCTTGGTCTCTTGAGAGGTAATTTAAGTTTAAAGCAATTGACATTTTGAAGCATCTCCTTGACATGTAAAGAAATATCAAACACCCCATTCCATTGGCACAATGTGAAAAAGGGATATCAAAACACAGTTCATGATACTCAATTCACAAATCTTGTTTAAAAATAAAAACATTCACTGAAGTTCTTTTTAAGCTTTAAGAAACTGGTCGAATGTTGTTAACCACTTTTTTTTTTAAGTTTACAGTTACAAATAAGACTGCATAATAGGGCTAAAGGTTTAAATGTGATGACAATCCTCAGAATGTCCTAGAAGCCCAGCATTTCTGGAGAGGGCCCATGGGAATCACAGCATTCCAAAACAGACAAAGATGCTGTAGGACACGTCATGAACTATTTTTTACACTCTCAAAAACATCTGAACTGGCATTTTTCTGCCAAGCTGTGACAGAACCATTATTTGGACTCTCACCATCTGGAGCCAGAACACTGCCATGGTCAAGAAATAGTTTACTAACAATCACTCTTCAGTGGAGGGGTAAAAATAAACTCTTGATATGACATGTCTAATGGGATCCTCATGTTGTTTTGAGTTTTAATTAGCACTTATCATCATGTTTTACAAATTATTCTGTATGTGACAGTTCTTTAAGGTAGAGGGGAAAAAGGTTAACTCCGGCATGAGCAGCAAAATGGCCAAGTGACCACTGGCATTTTTTAAGGATGGAAACTTGGAGTTCTCGACAACCATGGCACTGTGTCCTGACTCAAGGCACTTCCTGAGCACCATCATTACAGCGTAACTACAGGATCAGCTCTTTGGACCTTACCCCGTCCTGCGGAAGACACGCTGGCCAGAGCTGCCAGCCCACTCAGAGGCAGGCCCAGCAGGAAGGCAGTCTGGGGGGCAGAGCCAAGGTGTGAGGAGAAGACCAGGGCTGTCTGCACCCCAGGAAGCTGTGCGCACCCCTCGTCCCCGCTCCTCTGGGGGCACTGGCAGTGGACGTGGACAGTCTGCCTGAAGGTTACTTTAGCCAAGTTGAACCTTGGAAAGTGAGCATCTGAAGAAAGATAGTGTAAACACAAAGGCTTGTGTTTTTAAATATATTTCTCTAGTCAAATTTTTCTGCAGGAGTAGCCATAGCAATCATGATTCATAAATATTTTCAGTTACTTTCATTTTCAATACTAGCCAATTGGGGTTTGTCAAACCTTCGTTAGTTGGGGAAAAAAAAAAAAAGGAATCAGCTAGAGTAACATGTAAACCCAATTTAGAACTAAATTCCAACTTTTTTAAAGTTCCCTGATACATCAAAAGTACATTTTATCCATTTAGGCTGAACAGTAAAATTGTAACTCATTTTTTGACTTAATAAAGAATATCTTCAGCAAAAGTTGTTTTTACCTTATATGAAACTGAGAAATCATGTATGACAACTTTAAATCAGACAAGAACTTTTGGTATGTTCTTAAAATTATATAAAAATAGTTTTAGTGATTAACATGCATTGGTCCCCTGGATTTCATAAAGCAGATCTGGTAGGCTTGTAAATGGCCAAAAAAAAAAAAAAAGTAAAAGTACCTGATCATAGAGCTAGAGATTATTAAACAGGAAACGTAACACAATTATAAAAACAAACCTCTCAAACTCACTCATTTGCTTTGATGAAATCATGGTAACTACAGAAAAACTCAAATTTGGACTCAAAATATTAACCTCTAAACAATATTTTCCCCATGTTGTTTTTAAACACATGAAATTGACACTAAATTCCTATGAAGTATGTCATTCATTCTAAAATTACTTTGGCTTTAAGACCAAACAGTCTTTCAGATTTTTTCTATGTATAAGAAATAAGACGTTATCAGAATGCAGCTCAGTCAGCATAAATGGCCACTATCTCTTCCTGACCAAAATACTGTAAAGGTTACTCTGACCCTTTCATCAGGAAATTGATAGCTCTATAAGGTACGGTCTTGCCTCACAGCTACGATAGACTTTCCTCCCTCAGATTAAGATCACAGTGATAAAGAGGACTTTGAACAATTGTAGAAATCCTGCAAAGGCTTTTAGCACTGGAAGTAAAACCAGTTATTATAAGCTAATTTCAACTTCATATGAGAAGGCCATGACAGATTTCCTTTAAACATTTAATTTCACCATAAACATCTGTAAATGGAGAATCTATCCTTGGAATATTCCTTAACTATCACTTTCCCAAATATTGAGGGTACACCAAATTCACTCCATAGCCATATAAATTAGGCAGTTGCAATATCTGCACAAAGAAGGAAAGACTGAATTAAAAGCTGCCTTCCTCAAAGTGTAGTGCGACCTCAAAACCACACTGACCCTAACCTTAGCTACAAAGACAGAAAGTCCACAGAACAGTGATTCCTACACAACAACGTGACTCTCACATACCTGTTACTATTCAAATTATCAACTACCTTTACCTTCCTAGAAAGAAGCCTATTTAACATTAAGCGTATTCTAATTTTAAACGTAATTCATTTCTTAAAAAAATAACACTGTCTTTGATCGGATAAAGAAAAAAATGGCTTACAGAATGCCACACAACTTTTCACAAGCAGCTAGACAAATTTTCCCTTTTAGAAAAATTTGTCTGTATGCTACAGATTTTAAGTTATTAAAGTACTATAAGCATCAAGAGTGCCACTTGATTTTTTTAAAGTGTACTTAGACAATACAATTAAAATGCAAAAACTTGATGAGAATACTTATGACCATGATAACAATTTACCAATTAATGCCATTTCATTTCTTTAGTGGTTTAAGCACATTTTGGTATAAGAAAGGCATTTTCAAAATGGAATACCAAATAACATACCAGAGAAACTCTTCCAGAAAACAAAACAGAGTAAGTCTGGATTATCCAGGTAAATAAACTTTTGAGTTAAAACATGACAGGTTTACCACACAGACTTTAAGCAATTCTACTCGTTTCCATTAGAAAGACACAGAAGTGGCACTTACTGGTGTAGTACAATCCCATTTTGAAGGCATGTAATGTTCTGAATATGTGAAAGAACAATAATATACAAAATACAATTGCATAAATTATGTTCCTCACTACTATATGAGGTCATTTTTAGACTCAAGAGTTTATAAGTGTTAGTTTTAAGATCCTGAAAATTATAGAACAGTACATTCAAAGTCTAAATCAAAGAAACTCTTTAGTGGTTCAGAATCCTCTGAGAATGTACTAACCAGGAGAAATCACTTTCTTTAAAAATAAGAAATGTTTCATATAACTCAGCCATCCAGCTCCTTTACCCTTAAAGATGATCTTCAGCACAGCAGTTACCTAAAGTTAAGACCAGCAATCATTTAAAAAAACAAGGTTTGTGTTAATAAAAAATAAAGGTAGCCTACACAGCACTTTGTAACTGTCCTGGGAAAGTGTCCGTAGCACACAGAAAGGACCCCACGTGGCGGCCTCCTGGGCCTGAAGAAGCGCTGGGACGCCTTGGTTCACCTTTCTACATCGCCGTGAAAGGAAGCCATATCCTCCTCTTCCCTCTCAGTGAGGTAGAACAACTGACCTCCCAAAGTAAAACCCAGGAGCAGATCTGAAGAAGAAGCAGAGTTCAGGCAGAGCCACAGAATTTACATTTTGATGCCTTCCTGCTGACTGAGTTGTGACAATGTTTTCTTAATCCGCAGGGCTGTAAGCCTAGCTGCGCCATTGGCATACCAACATTCTCTCATAATTTTAGCCATTACTCGCAAGGCCTACAGGAAGAGAAAAGAAAGATCATTAATGCACGCACCACTTTTCAAAGACCTGGATAATAATCTTTACCTGTAAATTTTCTTTTTAAACGCCATACAAGGAATTCTGTTTCAGCATTATTTGCAATAGCAAATGAGTAAAGATGACCTAAATTGCCATCAGCAGGATACTGGTGCCAGCAGCTGGAAAGCAGATGGACAAGGGAAGATTGACTTTGCAGCCTGAGAAAGCTGAATCCTCAAACAGAGCTGTGCAAGGCAAAGAGGGAACCTGACTCACATGAAACGGCCCCCAAAACCGAGGAATTAACTTATATCCTGTATCCCTGAGGTGACGTTCAGGGCAAAAATAGAATCAGCCAAAGAAGCTGGAAGCCCAGATACCTGCCCTGCCCCAATTCACACAGCTGGGTGACCCCCCACCCCATCCCAACAGAAGACGAGAGGCTTCATTCAATCTGAGCGCAGAACAGACGCTGTCTTAGGGAAACGAGGGCAAAACTCCACATGACCACACACTGAACGCCAAGGCAGTAAACTTTCTCCCCAGAACACGGCCAGTGACTCCTCCAGGTAAGAGACCAGAAGAGTCCTCAGCCCAAGAAGAAAAGCCTAGAGAGTGACATCAGTGGTTTCCAAAGAAGCAGTCCAGTTCCTTCACGCTCAGCCTGCAGTGACGATGAGCTGCATTCATGTGCACAAAGCTTCCCATCAGCTCTCAGTGCTGCGATTATACGTAGAGCCTGAGCCTGACCAAACATTTCAGGAAAGGAACATGAAATGCAGAAACTGAGACAAACAGAAAAAACACAAGATGTACAGAAGACGGTATCAACAGGCCATCATTAATATCTTCAAAGAGGTAAAAGAAAATACTGATACTGGACTTACCAATGCTTTTTTGGGTTTTGTTTGGTTTGGGGAAAGTTTTATAAAACTACAAGATAAACCTGAATAATAATAATACTAAAACCAAAAGATAAAAGTGGATTCCTTTCCCAGAAAGTAGAGAAAAGAGAACAAAGAGATGGGTAATAGGAAAGAAAACACAAGAAAATCAGAATGCCTGTTCAGGATGTCCACATTCATAACCAGAGCTGAAGAAAAAGAACAGAAGAAAATGGAAGGGAACACATCAAGGAAATACTTGAGGAAAATTTCCTAGACATGAACATTTGTTTTCAGGTAAAAATGACCAAGGCTTCAGGACATGCGTAAAATCATCCGGCAAACCGAGGGCCATAATCCAGATACCGTCCTCCACACATCTAGTAGGGTAGTAACAGACACAGCAGTGATCTCACAGAGAACAGCTCCACTCTCACAAAGCTCATGTTACAGAGGGCTAAAGCATACAGTTAATAACTAAGCAAAATACATGGGCTGTCAGCGGCAAGTGCTGAGGAGAAACATCATTTAGGGAAGGAGGTAAAGTATGCCAGGGGAAAAAAGTGCTATTTTAAATAGGTTCACAGGTAACGTCTCACTGACAAGGTAACATCTGAGCAAAGAGCTGGAAGAGGGGGATAATGAGCAAAGGAAATGTGAAGATATGGGATTCAGAAAGGCAGTCACCACAAGAGAGGCAAAAGAGATCACAGGTGAAAGGTGAGGGATAGCCAAGATGAAAGCTGGCCTAGAGCCAGCTTTTCAGACTGGAAAAGGTCAGAGGGCTCTGAAAAACACTTCCGTAGGTATCCTATCAGTTTCAAATCCTCGATGTGTTTCAGCTACTGAGGGGAGACTTGTAAAACCCAAGAAAAGTGAAAGATTAAGTTAGCGATACAAAACTAGCCAAATAGAGAAAAAACCTAAAATGACAGTGATGGCATTAATTCAACATGCTGTGACAGTAATTGCAACTTGCATGTATGTTTTTAATGTTAACTACTAACTTTCCTTTATGCTTAATTAGCCATCTGTTTAACAGTAATTTGCTCTAATTTGCTTATTGAATGAGTGCATGAATAATTCCAGTTTGTGGTATCAAGATGAAATTTTTCAAAGACAAAATCTAGCCCAATTTCATTTGTTAAACATGCAGGTTCTGTGAGCACACAATATGTTTTGTCTGGGCCTGGATACTTGATTTCATTGGAGGTACCCAAGGAACTCTCTTGACCTCACAGGTATGTAGACTGAGGTCTACGTTAATTTAAGATGTAAAATAAACTACTTAAGTGAACAGCTTTTTATTCTTCCTGCACTACAAAACATCAACTCTAAAGGGAAATGCTTTACCAATATTATAAAAGTATTGTAATAGTGGTGGTTGCTCACTCAGTCGTGTCTGACTGTTTCAGACTCCATGGACTGCAGCACACCAGGCTTCCCTTGTCCTTCACTATCTCCCAGAGTTTGCTCAAACTCATGTCCATTGAGTCGGTGATGCCATCCACCCATTTTATCCTCTGTCACCTGCTTCTCCTGCCCTCAGTCTTTCCCAGTATCAGGGTCTTTTCCAGTGAGTCAGCTCTTCACATCAGGTGGCCAAAGTATTGGAGCTTCAGCTTCAGCACCAGCCCTTCCAATGAAAATTCAGGGTTGATTTCCTTTAGGACTGACTTCGTTTGATCTCCTTATTGTCCAAGGGACTCCCAGGAGTCTTCCTCAACACCACAGTTCGAAACCATCAATTCTTCAGTGCTTAGCTTTCTTTATAGTCCAACTCTCACATCCATACATGAAATACTTTTGACTACACAGACCTCTGTTGGCAAAGTGATATCTCTGTTTTTAATATGCTGTCTAGGTTTGTCATAGCTTTTCTTCCAAGGAGCAAGCATCTTTTTAAATTTCATGACTGTAGTCACCGTTCACAGTGATTTTTGAGCCCAAGAAAATAGTCTTTCACTGTTCCATTCTTTCCCCACCTATTTGCCATGAAGTGATGGGACTGGATGCCATGGTCTTAGTTTTCTGTATGTTGAGTTTTAACCCAGCTTTTTCACTCTCCTCCTTCACCTTCATCAAGAGGCTCTTTAGTTCCTCTTCACTTTCTGTCATTAGAGTGATGTCATCTGCATATCTGAGGTTATTGATATTTCTCCTGGCAATCTTGATTCCAGCTTGGGGTTCATCCAGCCCAGCATTTCGCATGATGTACTCTGCATATAAGCTAAATAAGCAGGGTAACAATATAGTCTTGACAATACTCCTTTCCCAATTTTAAACCACTTTGCTATTTCCATGTCTGGTTCTAAGTGTTGTTTCTTGACTGCATACAGGTTTCTCAGGAGGCAGGTAAGGTGGTCTGGTATTCCCATCTCTCTCAGAATTTTCCACAGTTTGTTGTGATCCACACAGTCAAAGGCTTTAGCATAGTCAATGAAGCAGAAGGTTTTTTTGGAATTCCCTTGCTTTTTCTATGATCCAACAGATGTTGGCAGTTTGATCTCTGGTTCCTCTGCCTTTTCCATATCCAACTTGTACATCTGGAAGTTCTTGTTTCACATACTGTTGAAGCCTAGCTTGAAGGATTTTGAGCATTACCTTACTAGTATGTGAAACGAGTGCAATTGTGTGGCAGTTTGAACATTCTTTGGCATTGCCCTTCTTTGGGACTGGAATGAAAACTGACCTTTTCCAGTCCTGTGGCCACTGCTGAGTTTTCTAAATTTGCTGGCATATTGAGTGCAGCACTTTAACATCATCTTTTAGGATTTGAAATAGCTGGAATTCCATCACCTCCACTAGCTTTGTTTGTAGTGATGCTTCCTAAGGTCTGCTTGACTTCACACACCAGGATGTCTGGCTCTAGGTGAGTGATCACACAATCCTGTTATCTGGGTCATTAAGACATTTTCTGTACAGTTTTTCTGTGTATTCTTAACATCTTCTTCTGTTAGTAAAAGTTAGCAATTGAGGATAAATTAAATATTTTCTTATAAATTCTTTGAAAGTACAACTACAAAAATATTTCTAAAACTTTTTGTAAGAGCTGAGGTTGAAAAGCTCAGATACTGCTAAAAAGCAGTTTCCACAAATTCCTGATGAATAGTCAAATAAACAGTGAAATGAATAAAATGTAAGATCATCTGAACCATCTTCACAATCATCCAAATCCCTTATATTACAAAAAGGCATATTAAGGTTCCAAGAACTGAAGCGCCTTGCCTGAAGTCAGACTCTGAAATGTATGGTAGCCAGGCTGATCTAGAATACAGGCCTCCTGATTCCAGCCAGCACACAGCCCGCTGTCCTGGGCTGCCCTGGTTTATGTTTTGTCTGTGCGGGGTCTTCACTGCTGCGCTTGGCTTTTCTCTAGTTGTAGCGAGCGAGGGCTGCTCTCTGGTTGTGGCGCTTGGACTTCTCATTGTGGTGGCTTCTTGTTGCAGAGCACAGGCTTTTAGGGCGTGTGGGCTTCAGTAAGTTTCAACCCCCAGGCTCTAGAGCTCAGTAAGTTGTGGTGCATGGGTTTAGTTGCTCTGTGGCTCTGGGGGTCTTCCCAGATCAGGGATTGAACCCGTGTTAACGGCAATGACAGGCGGATTCTTTACCACTGAGCCACCAGGGAAAGCCAGGAAGCTTTAAAATGCAGGAGCTTTCTTTCACTGACAGATCCAAACACTATTCTAATAAACTGATGGCCACTAAAAAGGTTCCATGGCCTTTGCGATGTACTTGAAATTGAACATAAAAAACAAATTACTCTGTTTTTACTCATTGATTTAATTAGCTATGAAAAATAAAGGAATGGGAATTCTTACTTCTGTTTTCCTTAAAGAAAAGTAGTAAATTTCCACATACTAACCAGAAGCAGTTTAGAAAACTGTATAGTACCCAAAATAAATACTCACTTCACAGCTCTGCCATCTGTTTGGAATATTTGGCCTTAACTTCTGTTCACAAACAACTTTTCTCATTTCTTCAACTGATGGATCAGAAGGTACAAGATCATAATAAGGCAGCTGGTAATCTTCATGAATTCCTACATTGGTAAAGAATTAAAAAAAAAAAAAACTATTTTGAAAGATTTACTCAGATAATGTCAGAACAATCTTTGACCAGACAGAAAAGGAACAGCTGGAGATTCTGTCACAGTGTCCCATTACTGAAATGGGCAAGTGGAACAGCCTGCACGCTCTTATCCATCCATGTCTGCATCTATAGCCCATCTCCTTCAGTCAGTACTGAGCCCACACTGTGAAACTAAATTTTGCAATACAATCAGCAAAGGCTGTTTTAATAATGGTGAGTTGTGATGACCAGACTGACATTTTCTCCTAGATGTCTTTATTGAAATGAAAGCCTTTATTCTGCAAGTGCACAGCCTCAGCTGGTAAAAGAATGCACACTCTCACTAAAGTGTGAGTCCTGCATGGCAGGCCCGAGTGCAAGTCCCTTCCTCCACCTGTGTCATTTAATAACCTGTCTGATTTGCTACTCCACGCCTCACTGCCTCAAAAACCTGAGGCCTTAGTCTCAGGTGAGCCTGGGTTCTCAAGGAGAAGACTGTTTCTCAAGTAAACATTCAAAGTGCTCCATCTAGCACAAACGTACTGTAAAAAGTAATGCAGTGATAGTGTATTTGCATTTTGCATATGTAATTTCCACTATCAGATGGAGAAAATCATGACAATCTTGAGGGTAAAAAAATCAGTTTGACTGCAGTACATGCTAGAAATAGCTTCCTAGGTGGCCTCACAAGCAGTCATTCATTCTAAATATCTATACTGCAAGATAACAAGGGGTTGATTTCTGTTGCATCCCAAAATTCCAAGTGGAACTAGAAAAAGACCACACTGGAATAAAGCTGCTATCAGGATAGAGCCATGCACAAGGATAAAGCATGTGGTGTCATCTCTCTGGCACTCTCATTGGTCACTGGGTAAACAATTTCAGTCAATAAGAAAGACAATTCTTAATCAAGTTTGTTTGTGACAAAATATTGGGGGAAAGGAAAGAAATTTACCACCAATGGAACACCGTCGAGCTACTTCCCAGAATACTAGTCCCATCGCATAGATGTCAGCGCGTTTGAAGGATTCAAAGTGTTTCATATTTATGGAATCATCTAGAACTTCAGGAGCCATATACCTAAAAAAGAAGTCAGCACTTCATTTTATGCAGTAGTAACATTGCTTTTTAAACTGTTCCATCATCTTTCTTTTACTCCTGGGCAGAGAGGCCGGGGAGGTGGGGAGCAATATTAACTGTGACCTTTCCTCCTTTCACTGTGGTTCTGCTGCTTTTTAATGACTAATGATATTGTTAATTTCTGCTGTGCAGGAAAGTGATTCAGTTATACACACACACACACACACACAGCAAAGTGATTCAGTTATATATATATACACACACACACACACAGCAAAGTGATTCAGTTATGTATATATATACACACACACAGCCAAGTGATTCAGTTACATATACATTCTTTTTAAGACAGTCTTTTCCATTGCTGTTTACAGCCTGTGATGTACGCAGGATGCGGCTGACCCGTTCTGCATGTAACGGCTTTTGCATCTGCTGACTCCAGCTTCCCACTCCCAACACCCTCCCCTCCAGCAGCCACAAGTCTGTTCTTTATGTCCCTCAGTCTATTTTGCAGATAGGATCATTTGTGTCCTATTTTAGATCCCACACAAATATGACAAAATTTGTCTCTCTTGACTGCCTTCACTTATCATGACAATCTCTAGTTGCGTCCATGTTGCAGCAAATGGCACTGTTTCATTCTTTCTATGGTTGGGGAGTATTCCATTGGGCGTATCCACCACATTTACCAGCTCATCTGTCACTGGACATTTAGGATGTGTCCATGTCTTGTTTATTGTGAAATAATGCTGCTGTGAACATAGGGGGTACATGTATCTTTGTGGATTAGAGTTTTTTCTGGATACATAGCCAGAAGTGGGACTGCTGGACCACATGGTAATTCTGTTTTTCACTTTTTCCATATGGTTTTCAATAGTGGTTGTACCAACTTACATTCACACCAACAGTGTGAGAGAGTTCCCTTTTCTCCACATCCTCTCCAGCATCTGTTGTTTGTAGTTTTTAATGATGGCCATTCTGACCGGCCACTCACTGCACTACCTCACTGCAGTTCTTATTTGCATTTCTCTAATAATTAGTGATATTGAGCATCTTTTCATGTGCCTATTGGCCATTTGTATTTCTTCTTTGGAGAAATGCCCATTTAGGTCTCTCGTCCATTTTTTCTATTAAGTTGCTTGTTTTTCTGTTGTGGTTGTTGAGTTCTATGAGCTGTTTACATATTTTGGAAATTAAGCCCTTATCAGCTGCATCATTTGCAAATATTTTTTCCAATTCTGTAGGTTGTCTTTTCCTTTTTTTAATGGTTTCCTTTGCTGTGCTGAAAGCTTGTAAGTTTGACTAGGTCCCATTTGTTTCTTTACTTCCACTGCCTTGGGAGACTGACTTAAGAAAACACTAGTATGATTTATGTCAGAATGTTTTGCCTATGCTGTCTACAAGGAGTTTTTGATGTCACGTCTTACAGTCTTTAGGCCATTTTGAGTTGTATTTTTATGTATGGTGAGAGGGTATGTTCTAACCTCATCGATTTCCATGTGGCTGTCCAACTTTGCTAACACCACTTGCTGAACAGACTGTCTTTTTCCCATTGTATATTCTCGCCTCCTTTGTCGAAGAGGCCTTAGGGGTATGGGTTTATCTCTGGGCTCTCTATTCTGTTTCATTGATCCGTATAAATGTTTCTGTGCCAGTACCATGCTGTTTCGATTACTGTATCTTTGTAGTATTGTTTGAAGTCTGGGAGGGTTATGGTTCATGTTTTGTTCTTTTTCTTCAGGATGGCTTTGGCAATTCTGGGTCTTTTATGATTCCATATAAACTTTAGGGTTATTTGTTCTAGTTCTGTGACAAATGTCATGGCTAATTTGATAGGGATCACATTAAATCTGTAGATTGCTTTGGGCAGTATGGCCATTTTAACAATACTAATTCTTCTAATCCAAGACATGGGATAACATTCCATTTCTTTGAATCATCTTGTTTGCTTTGTATCCTGCTACCTTGCTGAATTAATTTATCACTTCTAGTAATTTTTGTGTGAAGTCTTTAGGGTTTTCTGTGCGTGTGTATATATATATAATCATGTCATCTGCATATAAGGACAGTTTAAATTTTTCCTTCCAATTTGGATACCTTTTATATCTTTTTCTGACCTGACTGCTGTGGCCAAGACTTCCAATACTACAATGTTTAGTAGAAGAGGTGAGAATGGGCATCCTTGTCTTGTTTTAGATTTTAGCAAAAGGGCTTTCAGCTTTTCACCTTTGAGTATTATACTGGCTGTGGGTTTGTCATAAACAGCTTTTATTATGTTCCCTCAATACCCACTTTTTTGGTAAAGAGTTTTTGCAATGAAGGGATGTTGAATTTTCTCAAATGCTTTTTCTGCATCAACTGCGATGATTGTGTGGTTTTTATCTTTTGTTATGAGGTGTATCACATTGATTTGTTTATGTGGAATCATCCTTGTGAACTTGCAATGAATCCCACTTGGTTGTGGTGTATGACATTTTTTTGTGTGCTGTTGGATTCAGTTTGCTATTTTGTTAAGAATTTTTGCATCTACATTCATCAGATATATTGACCTGTATATATCTTTTTTGGTGGTTCTTTGTCTAGTTTTGATTTCAGAGTGATGGTGGCATTATAGAATGCCTTTGGTAGTGGGCATTCTATAATTCCCACCTCTTCAGTTTTTTGGAAGCAACGATATAAATTATTTTGTGTGTCTTGTGGAACTCACCCATGGAGCCATCTGGTCCTGGACTTTAGTTTGTTGGAGGTTTTGAAATTACAGATTGTATTTCACCTCTAGTAATTAGTCTGGTCAAATCATGTGTTTTTCCTTGATTAATTTTTTTGGTGGATTGTATGTTTCTAGAAACTTGTATGTTTCTTCAGTTCAGTTACTAAGTTGTGTCTGACTCTTTGCGACCCCATGGACTGCAGCACGCCAAGCCTCCGTGTCTGTCACCCAACTCCCAGAGTTTACTCAAACTCACGTCCATTGAGTTGGTGATGCCATTCAACCATCTCATCCTCTGTTGTCCCCGTCTACATTGTCAAATTTGTTGTCATATAATTGTACATAGTATTCCTTTATGATTTTTTGTATTTCTGCAGTATCAGTTGTTATGTCTCCTTTTTCATTTATTTGGGTTCTCTCTCATTTCTTCTTGGTGAGCCTGGCCAAAGATTTGTCCATTTTGTTTACCCTTTCAAAGAAGCAGGTCTTGGTTGTATGTTTTTTTTTCCCCAAAAAATCTCTCTTTTATCTATTTCCTCTCTGATCTTTATTTTTTTCCTTCCTTCTGTTGACTTTAGGTTTTGTTTGCTCTCCTCCAATTCTTTTAAGTGGTAGGCTAGGTTGTTTATTTGATATATTTCATGTTTTTTTGAGCAAGGCCGCATCGCTGTGAACTCCCCTCTCAGAACTGCTTTTGCTGCCTCCCACAGGTTTCCTTAGTGAAAATGCCTGTGCCAGGTCTCAGCTGCTGCACACGGGGTCTAGTTCACAGATGGAACCTGGGCTTCCTGCATTGGGTGCTTGGAGTCTTAGCCACTGAATCACCAGAGAAGTCCCATTCCATAGGTTTTGTATGGTTGTTTTTACTGTCATTTGTCTCAAGGTATTTTTAAATTTCCTCTCTGATTTCATCATTGACCCATTGGTATTTTAGTATTGGTAGTATGTTGTTGAGTCTCTGTGTAACTTATTTTCTCCCCTCATTTCTTTTTCTGTGGTTGATATCTAGTTTAATGCTGTTGTGGTCAGGAAAAATGTGAGATAACTTCTACACTCTTAAATTTGTTGAGGCTTGTTTTATGCCCAAGAAGGTGATCAATCCTAGAGAATATTCCAGGTGCAGTTGAAAAGGATGTGTTTTGTTTTTTAATGTCCAGAAAATATCAATTTACCATAATTCTGTTGTGTTGTGTAGGATCTCTCTTTTACTGATTTTCTGTCTACAAGATTTAGCCATTGACATGAGTGGGGTGTTCAATCAAATCTCCTACTCTTCTTGTTTTCCCATCGATTTCTCTCTTTATGTTTGTTGGTATTTGTTTTATGTATTTAGATACTCCTACATTAGGTGTGTATATGCTGATGAGTATAAGATCCTCTTCCTAAATTGATCCTTTTTTCAATAGTGTCCTTATCTATCTTTCTGTATGGTATTTGTTTGAAAGTCTGTGTTGTCTGACAAGAGTGATTCCCCACTTTCTTCTCATTTCTGTTTACAAGAAATATTTTTCCGTCTCATCACTTTTGATCTATGTGTGTCCCTCTGCCCTAAAGTGGGCCTTACAGGCAGCATGTTGTAGGCTCTGGATTAAAACAATAAATCTGCCACCCTTTCCTATTTTAAAAAAATTATTTTTTTGAAGTATTGTTGATATACAATGTTTATTTCTATTGTACAGCAAAGTAATTCAGTTATACATTATTTTCCATTAGGTTTACCACAGAATATTGAGAGATCTACTCTCTTTGAGAGTTTATCTTGATTCTCATTTTTAATTTTATGTTTGGGGATAGCTGATTTGTGTGTTTCAGGTGTAGAGCAAAGTGACTCATTCACACACACAGGGATCTACTGCTTTCCCACACAGGTTATCACAGAGTGCCGAGTTGGGCTGGCCCACTATACTAGATGGCGGGTTCTCCTTGAGTATCTGCTCTATATGTAGTACTGTGTGCGTGTGCTGTGCTGTGTCTGGCTCTCTGTGACCCATGGGCTGCGGCCCACCAGGCTCCTCTGTCCATGGGGACTCTCCAGGCAAGAATCCTGGAGTGGGTTGCCGTGCTCTCTTCCAGGGGATCTTCCCACCCCAGGGATCAAACCCAGGTCTCCTGCATTGCAGGCATATTTACCATCTGAGCCCCCAGGGAAGCCCAGGAATGCTGGAGTAGGTAGCCTGTCCTTCTCCAGGGATGTTCCTGATCCAGGAATTGAACCAGGGTCTCCTGCATTGTAAGCAGATTCTTTACCAGCTGAGCTACCAGGGAAGCCCATTGTGTGTATGTTAATCGC